AAGGTGAATAAAGAGAAACAGGACATAGGTGAATAAAGAGAAACAGGGCATAGGTGAATAAAGATAAACAGGACATAGGTGAATAAAGGGAAACAGGACATAAGTGAATAAAGAGAAACAGGACAAAGGTGAATAAAGAGAAACAGAACATAAGTGAATAAAGAGAAACAGGACAAAGGTGAATAAAGGGAAACAGGACATAAGTGAATAAAGGGAAACAGGACATGGGTGAATAAAGAGAAATAGGACATCGGTCAATAAAGGGAAACAGGACGTTAATCCAGGGCCTGGACTCTAGATGAAGCTGCATGTGTTCCAGATGTTTCACCTTCTCCAGCTGACGGTCCAAACGGGTCGACCTCGCTGACAAAGACGTGACTTTTACCGACTCCGTCCACGTGGCCCGTCACGGCGAACCCTGTGGCATCATGGGAGACCCAGAAACAGTAAAATAACCAAACAGAATAAAACGTTTAAATGTTTTAACTAATCAATCAATCAATCAACCTTTATTTCTACAGGTAAATCCCATTGAGCCTCGAGGACTCATTTACAAGAGAGACCTGATTTAACAAAGAAAGATGACAACAATGGACAACAGCAACAACAATAAACAGTTATAAAAACTCATACTACAGTTTTTTTTTTTTTTTTTTAACAAATAGGATGGTTAAAAGGAAAAAGGTAACAAAACAAAAAAAACAGTTAGATTCCAAGACAAATGTATAAAACTAAAAAAAACTAAAAACTAAAACTCAGCGAGGTGATCAGAAACATCTCCAGATGTGTTGATCAGCAGAACATTTAAAAATTATTTGTTCCTCACCAAAGTTCTGGTGTTCGTCGAGTCGACGGAGCTGCAGACTGAAAGCTCCGACTGATGAGGACTTCGGATCTTCACACGCCTGAAACTAACCAGTTTTATCAACAAAACTTTACGTTAAAAATATATTTCCTTCATCAAAACTTTATTTGTCTTATTTTTAAAAAATGCATCAAACACGTTTTATTGTTGCGTCAAAATTTGTTAAATTCAACAAATAAAACAGAAAATATTTTAAAGAACCTGCAGTTCCGCAGCTCTGCCTGCAGAGGGCGCCACCTCCTGTTTGGACAGAATAAAAACATAAAGACAAGATTCATTTTTCATTTTCTACAAATAAAAGATTTTATTACAGAACAGATAAAAAACATTTACTAAACATTAAAACAGGAACACGGAGCAGAGGGGGTTTAAAAACAAGATTAAAGTATCCTGATATCACATCAGTGGGACTTTTTCTGATCTGGGTTTTGTTCTGTGTCGGGATCAGAACCGTCAGGAGATCCAGAACCAGAGCAGAACCCGAACCAGACCAGAACCAAAGAACCAGGCCAGAACCAAAGAACCAGACCAGAACCAAATAACCAGACCCAGACCAGAACCAGGCCAGAACCAAAGAACCAGACCAGACCCAGACCAGAACCAGGCCAGAACCAGAGCCCGACTAATCCCATTAAAAAATAAACTAATTCATAGAATTGAAACAAAATGAAGTTCAAATTTTAAAAAAGGAAACAAAATAAACCTGAGTGAAGAAATGGAGGCAGGAGGAGGTGAGGTGAGGAGTCACTTCCTGCCTCCTCCCACCTCCTCCCACCTCCTACTGCCTCCATGGAGCTCAGACACAAAGAGAATTCTGGGTAAATAAAAGTCTTGAAAGGTTTTAATCCTCAAAAAGATTTTAGTTTGTCCTCCTCTTACCTCAATCTGACTCCTCATGTCTCCTCCCATCTCCTCCTGCCTCCATCTGACTCCTCCTGTCTCCTCCTCCTGCATCT